CCTACCTACCTACCTACCTACCTACCTACCTACCTACCTACCTACCTATTTAATCCATCCATATATTATACATATATCATTTTATATGGTGCTTTAATATTATCATAAGCCAGTCACTTGACAGTGAGATGGGCACTATATGAATTTAATAAATAAATTATAGCACGCACACACACACACATACACACGCACACAGACAGAGGAAAAAACCCTTTTTTCTTGAAATAAAGGAAGAAGAAAATGAAGCAGATGAGGAATTCCCCTAGCTGATGCTCTGTCTGGGCAAAGGGTCAACCTCGCATCCCATCATTCCCAGCGGGCGCTGCCTAGACCCGACTGTGGGGGGGGGGAGGGAGGAATGGAGAGCGCCTGATTGGGGAAGGTGGATTAAAAGAAATGCGGTCATTTTATTCCTCGGTCACTTGCATCAATCCGGGCCTCTCTCCGCCATCCGAAGATAACTGTTTACATGGTCGCCAAGGGCAACGGCTTCCTTAGCAACCAGCATCCAAGATGGCGCCGGGGCCCTAGCGACCGTTTGGAAAATGACCGAAACGCCCTTTCCGCCCCTAGAAAACATGGCCGCCAAGGTTGCCCTGCCACGTCACGAATAAGGCATTTGAATCTAGGCGAGGCCTTTCTTAAAAGTGTGATATTTTCCTTTAAAGAAACAAGACGGCGATTTAATGATTATTATTATTATTTAAGCGACAGGGTAGGCGAAGGAGGTTGCCTCATCCACGATGGAAGCGGATCTCCCGTTTCCGTTTGCAAAATGGTGTCCCGTTTAGCTTCCGGGTCACGCCCAACCAAGGCCTCTACGCTACCTAGGCCGAAAATGGTGGCTCGCACAGACGAAGGGACCTTTTTCAACAGCCGGACAATATATATATAACCCGCGTTGTTTTCCGAAAATGCCGGCGTGCGGTGGTCCCCGGAGAGTACTTTCAGCTGACGCCACGACGCTTCGCCCCTATCCACTGGTCTTTTTTGCCTACGAGATCCCTGCGAGATGTTCTACAACTCTGCATCCGATCCGTACAAGATGGCGGCTCCCAGTCAAACCGGGGGAGCGGATGAGGCGGGACTTCCGTTTGGACGTTCCAAGATGGCGGCCCCCAGGGCTTGTTTGTTTGCTTTTTTAAACCCGTGAACGAGCGCGGCATAACTCGGGGTCTTCTGAATGGCGCTACCTGTGACTCTGAGGCTGGGTAGGGACCGCTTGGACGCCGGGACGAGCGTCTGTGTGTGTGTACGTGCGCGCATGGGCAGAAACACGTGCCGGAGAGAATGAATGAGAGAATGAATCTGGGGTCGGTTTCAATGGGGCTGCCTTGGGAGTGGATGGGCGGAGACCTGCCTGGCAAGGGGAGACCAAGGGCGGTTAGGTGGCTCAATGGCTAAGACGCTGAGCTTGTCGATCAGAAAGTTCGGCGGTTCGAATCCCTAGTATAGGTCTCCTGTGTGAGCAGGGAGTTGGACTAGATGACCTCCAGGGACCCTTCCAACTCCGTTACTGTTACTATTACCCTCCCCAAGTATCCAACACCACCCCCTCAAAATTCCCGCACATTGGAAGGACACCCTTTAGCAAAGCCTTGAATTCCTAACTCAAAAAGGTTCAGACTCCTCTCTATACATTCCATGGTGGCCACATTGAGCATCATAAGGGAAGGGGTGGGGTGGGGTAGGGGGCCTTGACTAATGAAGGCATTGATATCCAGTCCCTTTTGTGAAGCTGTATTTCTTAACCTAGGCAACTTTTAAGATGGGTGGACTTCAACTCCCAGAATTCCCCTTAATCCCAGGAGAACAATAATTCCCCAGCCAGCAAATTGCCAACTTTAAGATGGGTGGACTTCAATTCCCAGAATTCAATTCCAGGAAGCAAATTTCTAAACCATGGCAACTTATAAAATGGGTGGACTTCAACTCCCAGAATTCCCCTTAATTCCAGGAGAACAATAATTCCCCAGCCAGCAAATTGCCAACTTTAAAATGGGTGGACTTCAACTCCCAGAATTCCCCTTAATTCCAGGAGAACAATAATTCCCCAGCCAGCAAATTACCAACTTTAAAATGGGTGGACTTCAACTCCCAGAATTCCCCTTAATACCAGGAGAACAATAATTCCCCAGCCAGCAAATTGCCAATTTAAAGATGGGTGGCCTTCAATTCCCAGAATTCCCCTTAATCCTAGGAGAACAATAATTCCCCAGCCAGCAAATTGCCAACTTTAAAATGGATGGACTTCAATTCCCAGAATTCCCCTTAATCCTAGGAGAACAATAATTCCCCAGCCAGCAAATTGCCAATTTAAAGATGGATGGCCTTCAACTCCCAGAATTCCCCTTAATCCTAGGAGAACAATCATTTCCCAGCCATAGCAAATTGCTGAATCCTGCAGAGTGCTCCTGGGGGCTGAGGGAAGGCAAAAACGCCTCCGTTTTTGCGAAAAATGGTCCTGTTTTTTTTTGCAAAAGGGGGGGGGGGAATTTTGCCTGGATGATGTAATCTTTCCAGGTGCCATGTGAGATGGGTAGAGGGCTAATCCTACCTTTCTTGGATCTCCAGTGAGGGCATTTGCCTATGAATAGACCTAGCTATCTCTTTATCTCTTAAGTCTTAAGTGCGGACATCTGCTGTGGGCTATTGAGGGTGGGGGCTATTGAGAGTGAGTCTGTTTCCTGCCTAAAAAAAGTGTTTCTCCATTTCTCATCCCAGGAAATATAATATTCTGCCTTTTTAATATTTCCTAGTGCTAACTTCCTACCGTTTTGTTTCCCTACTATTCACTCAATCGGGAGACCATCTCAGCTAATGCTTTTACGAACCACCAGGAGTCACTGCTTTCATACTGCTTGAAACATATCAAAAATATGTAGCCACAGAATTGTAGCTACATACACCCGATGAGGTCCAAACAGAATAAAAGTCAATATCCATTTTTTTAAAAATCCACCCAGGGGGTACACTGTCCAAAAATCAAGAAATGCCGTTCCCCAAGAGAGGTGAAAGATACTTAAAACCTTGTTAAATGAAACTTAATGTAATGTATAACATCTCTCTCTTTCCCTCCCTCCCTGTCTATCTTTCTGTGTGTCTATCAGTTGTATCTGTCTATCATATCATATCATATCTATATCACTATCAATCTCTATTTCTGTATCTATATCTCAATCTATATTTATCTATCTATCTAATCTATATCTAATCTATGTGAATGCTTCAACACTGGACGTTTTTAAGAAGAGGTTGAATAACCATCTGTCTGAAGGTGGTATAAGGTTTCCTGCCTAAGCAGGGGGTTAGACTAGAAGACCTCCAAGGTCCCTTCCAACCCTGTTACTCTATTCTATTCGATATATCTTAATTTCTTACATGGAAAAATGAATGCTTAAAAGAGTTAAAATATAATAAGAATAATAACACTGTGAATGTATACCTGCAAAAGTATGTATGAGATTAAAAATAAAAATAAAAACTTTTTTTAAAAAAAGAGATGGGATCGGGGCGGTCTGCAGTATAATCCATAACATTATCGTTAGAATAATTTCTTAAGGTCCAATCATTCAGACTGTGCCTCTCGAAAAGCATATGAAAAGGAAGGCAGGCTTTCTAGATCATTTTTAAAGTTCGCCTTAGCTCAGGGTTGGGCAACCTAAGCTCGGGAGCTGCATGTGGCTCTTTCATCCCTCTGTTGCAGCTCCCTGTTGCCAGTCACTTCCACAATTAATAAGGCTTTTGTTTAGGACAGGTAGAGAAAAAAGGATGCTGTCCTAGGAGGAGACTCTATGGTGGGAGAACTGGACTTCTGGTTGGCTCCAGAATTGAGCGGGGGGGGCTTCCGATTAGGACCTTTGTGGCTCTGAGTGTTTAAGGTTGCCGACCCCTGCCTTAGCTAGCAGGAGTTTTTTTGAAGTCTGACCATGACAACCCGTGTAAATCTTGGCCTTGTAAATCCAAAGAACATGCCTCAATTAGGCAAACCATGATTGTTAAAAGGTTTGAGGAGGTGGCTAGGCCAACGACACGACACTTCGGGTTCAGCCACGCATTTCCTGTCTGATTTTTCATCCTGCAGGACCCCAGCTTGTGAAATTGGCTCGGAGTTTCCATAGTGGTACTGTGAAGCACGGCGGAAGTAGATGGAGAATGAAGTAAGTGCCTCCTATCTAATCTCGTCTAGCTATCATCGAGCTACCTAACTACCATGTAGCTATCATCTGTCTATCATCTGTCCTCTCTGTATCATCTTTCTACCATCGTATCTACTGTATGTCTACATATCTATCATCTATCTCAGGGGTGTCAAACTCAAGGCCTGGGGGGGGGTGGAGAGGCGAGTTGCTGCCGGCATTACTTCTGGTTTGGTGCGCACAAAATTTTTGTTCGCGCGCACACGCTTCGTTCGTTCGTGCGCATGCTGGATGTGCGCTATGCGCGCATGTGCATTTGCACCTAAATAGATCTGCATATGTGCAAAACCTCGAAAAGGGGAAACAATGTAAATTTGTGCAGTGAAAATTGTTCTGCGCATGCGCTGAAGCGAAAATCAAGATGGCGCCGCCGTAGGAGAACCAATTCAGGGGCGTGGCTGGCCTGAGTCGATGCCGGTTCCAGCGACCTAGGCTGCCAAACCACTACCGGATCAGGCCCATGGGGTGCTTAGATCTGGCCTGTGAAGCCGCCCTGGAAACAGCGAAGGAGCAGCCCGCAGTGTCTCTGCCAGCGAAAATGGAGCTTGGGAAGGCCCCGTGCAGCTCTCCTGAACTCCCTTTTCGCTGGCAGAGGGTTGTAGGATGCTGTCACAGCCTAAAACGGAGCTCGGGAGCTCGTTTTCGCTGGCAAAGCACTCGGGCCACCACAGGTGCCCCAACACGGGTGACGTCGAGCTGGCCATGCCCCCCTGGCCACGCCCCCCAGCCTACTTCACGAGGTAAAACACAACCCTCAATGAAATTGAGTTTGACACCCCTGATTTATACTGGTGCCCCAACATGGGTGACGTCAAGCTGGCCATGCCCCCTGGCCATGACACCCCAGCCTACTTCACGAGGTAAAACACAACCCTCAATGAAATTGAGTTTGACACCCCTGATTTATACTGGTGCCCCAACATGGGTGACGTCAAGCTGGCCATGCCCCCTGGCCATGACACCCCAGCCTACTTCACGAGGTAAAACACAACCCTCAATGAAATTGAGTTTGACACCCCTGATTTATACTGGTGCCCCAACATGGGTGACGTCAAGCTGGCCATGCCCCCTGGCCATGACACCCCAGCCTACTTCACGAGGTAAAACACAACCCTCAGTGAAATTGAGTTTGACACCCCTGATTTATACTGGTGCCCCAACATGGGTGACGTCAAGCTGGCCATGCCCCCTGGCCATGCCATCGCAGCCCACCATCCGAGGTAAAACACAACCCTCAATGAAATTGAGTTTGACACCCCTGATTTATACTGGTGCCCCAACATGGGTGACGTCAAGCTGGCCATGCCCCCTGGCCATGCCATCGCAGCCCACCATCCGAGGTAAAACACAACCCTCAATGAAATTGAGTTTG